TCTCTCTCTCTCTCTCTCTCTCACACACACACACACACACACACACACACACACACACACACACACACACACACACTTGGACATGCTGATCTCATTCGGAATCAGTGTTGCAGCCCTCGTCCTCAGATGGCTGTTCGCTGCAGTCAGCTGAGTCTGGATCATCCTCCTTCACCGTCTTGCGCTTGCGGCGCTGTTTCTTTTTTTTGCCGGTGTAGTGGCCAGGTTGGTCTTGGGCTTTCGAGGTCTGCCACAAGGACGTTTCGGTTGTGCAGGAGCGTCCTCGGATGGCTCCTTTCTATTTGCTTTTGCTCAATTTGGCTCAGATCTTGATGCTGCCACTCTGGATCTGCTGCCTGCAGACAGTCTGTACACTTTCTCCTCTTGCCCACTCGGCTCACCCACAGGTTATCATGCTGGACAACCTCCTTCATTCTCCTATCATGAATTCTGGTATGTTCACCTTCAACTCCGGACACTCCGCTGGCCGAGGCCTGCGTGTGTAGACTGTTGTCGCTGTGAGATGGGGCTCGTTATTGAGGGCCTGATCAACCTCGCCATGCTGCACCTCCTGCAGCGGCAATCCATCCCCCTCCTCGTCTTGCTGCATCTCCTCTTCCTCCCCACCTTGCACCATGCCTTCCTCCTCTTCCTGATGCTCCATCTCCGCTCCTTCCTCTAGTTGCACCATGCCCTCCGCCTCTTCTTCCTGCTCTATGTTATCTCCCACGTCTGGTTGGTGCTCCTCATCCTCCTCTTCTCCATCTTCCACAACCTCCAATGCCCGATCTGTTGTTGATGCTCCCTGACTTGTTTGAGACCTCTCTCGATCTCTCTACAGGTTGGGATAGCTACACGGCGGGCCTCGTCCTCCATCATACGTTTGTTGATGAGTTTGGTCTCGCAGTCAGCCATATCCAGCCGTGTGAACTTGACATCAAATTGCAGACTGTACGGTGCTGTTTCCCCTACCCCGGGCTCCATCACTGCTGGGCGTGACACTTCTCTCTGCGCTGTCATCCAGTCCGTCTCTTTTCGACATACGTCGTGCCCAGAACGGCCGACTCTGGTCGTAGCTCAAAATCGAAGTCATCATCGGCCTGGTCTTCGCTGCCACTTGAGTCGTCCAACGATCCACACTTCCTCTTCCACAACTCGTCATCCAAATCACTGTCGTTCGTGAGCTCTTCGTCCTCGTCCTCGATAATTTTTGGAACCCTTCCCTTTGGAGTCTTTGTGAACCTCAGTTCCCGTACAAACTCCTCCTCTGTCTTTTCAGCCTCATCCTCGAACCCCTTGGACAATGATCCATCGTTCTCTTCAGGCTCCGGGAAGGGCTTGACGAAGTCACACCACAAGTCCACAAATCCGCAGTTCTTACTGTATGGAACACGAAGTAGCTGCATGTTCTTGTGGATGTACACCAGCTTCGCGAAGCTCTCTGGCGACAACTTGTTCATTCGTTTGGAGTGGACAAAGTCCATGGAAGCCCAATTCCTCTCTGTTGGTGATGCGGTGTTCCATATGCCCATAACCTTGATCGCAATCTTCTGCAATTTGGGCAAGTCGCCATCGCGTGCGGCCCACCATTCTGACGATGTCTTTTTCTTGACATTTGCCCTCGCCGTAGGGTCTCACATCTTTGTGTCTTTCCTTTTTGGGTCGTTCTTTGTGGGTTTGCAGTGGAACTCATTCAAGTCATCCTAAATGTCAATATGTGCTGACCCTTTCCATTCACCTCCAACCTGCCTTGAGAGAAAACGCATGACATTCTGCACAAGCACACTGTCTTGGTCATGCAGCCATCTCGATTCTTTCCTGAGTGGATACAAAAGAAAGACTGCTGCGTGGACGGGCTGGCGCATCATCTTCATGCGATCTCTGACTTTCTCCATTATGCTCGGCCGCTGCTCCACAGTAAGGACGACGTGGCTGAACTTGATGTCTATCATGTTGCCATACTCGATAAGGTTCGTCAGAGCAGTGTTGTCCCGATCCATCCGCCTCAAAAGGTTGAACATGGACTCCATCACCTCGACCACCTTGTTCAACCCTATCCACCAGTTGTGACTCCTCAATGTGAAGTACACCAGACTTGATCTCGCCTTCAACTGCGATGTGGACCACCGGATCGCTTTCCATTTTGCTGCATTCCGACCACCAACCATATCCTTCAACACCCCTCTTTTGTTGTAAACCCTCTCCAACATTTGGTACACCGACCCAAAATAACGACCATTTCGTCAAAATGGACATATTTTATTTTTTGAACGAAATTGAAACTGAGATTTTTGGCCGAAAACTCGTCAAAATTTGTTGTTCTTGAGGGTTCAGCGTTTTAAAAACGCTGGACCCTCTGGCTGTACATGGACCTAGCTTGAGACCAGACACCTCCAGGCAGGACTGCCTGGAGGTACCTGGTCTCAAGCTAGGTCCATGTACAGGCAGGGGGGAACAACAAATTTTGACGAGTTTTCGGCCAAAAAACTCGGTTTCAATTTCGTTCAAAAAATAAAAGATGTCAATTTTGACGAAATGGCAGTTAAATGAACCTTCGTGGGCCGAAGAAGGGACAATGAATCGTCCAATGTCATCATCATACTTTGTGTGTTTTGGTGATTTTGATGAACTTGACGATGGTCTGACTCTTCTTGACGGTGTTCTTCACCGAATCAAGCTTGCCGAGGTCGTGTAAAAGAAGGCTGCAGCAATGCGCAGCGCAAGAAACCCCCAAGATCGTTGCTATCTCCTTGTCAATTTGTCGCTTCAAGATTTGAGCCGCCCTTTTGTTCACCACGGCGTTGTCCGTGCAAATCGCATTGATTCGACATATACTATTTCCCTCATGATTTGCTCCCGCAATTTTGCCAATGCAGGTCTAGTCTTCTTCCTCCCTGACATTGATACCGTCACCACAAAAACTAACGCATCCAACCCGACTGCCAAGAAGTTCATCACAGGCTGGTCCTGACAACCGCTCGACCTGTCTGTGGTGAAAGTACAGTCGGTCACATCCCAGCAAGTCGTCAACGGCTCCACCGACTTCTGCGAACGCATGTAGACGATGTCCAACATCACGGTTCTTATGTGCTTGAAGGAGGGCAGTTTCACTTGCGGTCTTGCGTTTGCCACTTGTAGGTACACTTCATGAAATTTCTGTGTGGTTTCGAAGTTCAAGAAGTTGAATGGGACCCCGACACGAAATATGGCATCCACCAATGCAATGTCCAGTTTCTTCTGCGTATCGTTGTCCACCCACCTCCTTATTGTTGACTGCTGCAATGAGGATAGTCATGTGTTTGACCCTGACGCCTCACCCCCCCTCGCCTCGAGAGCATTCACCTTGTGCAATGTCTCTGACTCAGATGGTGGAGTAACCCTGCGCGCAGTGGGCGGTGACTGTGGCTCAAGGTATAAGGAAACTTCATCTTGCACGTCGACTATCTCCGTCTAAACGACCCCCTTTTCCGGAATCCCGTGCAACTGCCTGAAATTCTTCAACATGTACCATGTATTCTTATCAGTCGACTGCACTTTCGCCCCGAGGTGACGAGGTCGTTCATAATCTCCCGTGTTCGCCATAGACACCGCTTTTGTGGCTTCAAGTACTATTCCATCGCTCTTGAGCTCGTGCCCCTCCAAATCTGCGTGCACAGCCGACACCTCACCCAATACTCGCCTCTCCCTTTTTCCCCAGCTTCCTGACCCTGTTCTGCGTACTTCCACGAGAAAAAGTTAACAACAGTTGTATTTTTCATCACCACTTCAAGACACCCTTCACCACTTCAGGATGCAACCTGCCTAAACAGGTGGTTTTCAGGGTCTTCGGACCTTCCACCACTTCAGGATGCAGCCTGCCTAAACAGGTGGTTTTCAGGGTCTTTGGACCTTTCACCGATTCAGGACCATTCATGATTTTCAGACTGCCAGAAACTCTCACTTCACCACTTTAGGATACAACCTGCCTAAACAAGTGTTTTTCAGGGTCTTCGGACCTTTCACCACTTCAAGACCATTCGAGATTTTCAGACTGCCAAAAACTCTCACTTCAGAATTTTCATTTCTGAATTTTCAGTTATCCGTTAACCGCTTGTGGCTTCCACACGGGCTTCTCCCTCTGCAGCTTGTCATGCACTGCCTTGTCATGTGGAACGAACAATGAGGGGTTCATTATTGGCAAGGGGTCTTTGGAGGTTATTGTCGATGTGGGTGTAGTGGAGGTGATTGCAACTTGCTCTTTTCCTTTGTCTGTTGCCGTTTTGCCTCTCGTCCTTCCAGACCCGCCACTCCCCCTGCCTATGCCGCTGCCACCGCAAGACATAGTGTCGTGTAAGTAGAGGATGCACGGACCAACAACAAGGGAAAAGAAAAAGTAAGAATATCGGAAGAAGAAGAAGAAGAAGAAGAAGAAGAAGAAGAAGAAGAAGAAAAAGAAGACGAAGCTGTTGTTTGCCTGCACAATATGGACATGGGAAAAAAAAATGAGCCGGAGATAGCACCCAGTATGATATGGCTGGCGTACAATATGGCTGACGGATATGAGCGATGGTGGGCGGTAAGATATGGAGGAGGACGAGGAGGGAGGAAGAAGACAAGGAGGAGGTGGAGGAAGACGAAGAGGAGGAGGAGAGGAGGAAAAAAGATGAAGACTTGAAAAACGAAATAGACAAAAAGAGAAGGAAGAGGAGGGAAGAACAAAAAGGAGAAGGAAGAGGAGGAGGAGGAGGAAGAAGAAGAAGATCAAGAAAGGAGAAAGAAGAAGAAGATGACAGGAGGAGGAGGAGGAGGAGGAGGAGGAGGAGGAGGAGGTGACGATGAAGAAGAAGAAGACAAGAGGAGGGGGAGGAGGAGGAGGTGACGATGAAGAAGAAGAAGACAAGAGGAGGAACAGGGGAAGGAAGAGAGGAAAAGAGGAATAGGAAAAAGATAGAGACTTGAAAAGCGAACAGACGAATGGAGGAGGAGGATGAGGAGATAAAAGGAGGAGGAGGAGGAGGAGGAGAAGGAGGAGGAGAGAAGGAGAAGACGAAGGGAGGATGAGGCAGAGGAGGAGGGCTAGGAGGTGGAGGAGGACCTACCGGTAGTGTATGTGGATGACGAAATAAAAAGGACAATGATGAAGGAGGTCGAGGAGGAGGAGGAGAGAAGGAGAAGAATAAGTAGGTGGAGGAGGAGGAGGAGAAGGAGATAAGAAGAAGACGATGAGAGGAGGAGGAGGACCTGCCAGTAGTGTATGTCGATGGCGAAAAAAAAAAAAAGACGACGATGAAGGAGGTCGAGGAGGAGGAGGAGGAGAGAAGGAGAACAATATGTAGGTGGAGGAGGAGGAGGAGGAGAGAAGGAGAACAATATGTAGGTGGAGGAGGAGGAGGAGAGATGAAGAAGACGAGAGGAGGAGGAGGAGGAGGGGAGAAGGACAATACGAAAGGAGGAGGAGGAGGACACGCCTGAGGAGGAGAGAAGAAAAAGAAGACGAGAGGAGGAGGAGGAGCACGAGGGGTGAGAGGACTTGCCTGTAGTGTATGTGAGGGAGGAAGAGGGGAGGAAGGAGGAAAGGAAAGGAGGAGGGGAGGAAGGAGGAAAGGAAAGGAGGAGGAAAAAAATAGAGACTTCAAAAGCGAACAAACGAAAGGAGGAGAAGGAGACGGAAGTAGGAGGAGAGAGAGGAGGAGGAGGAGGAGGAGGAGAAAAGGACAAGACGAAAGGAGAAGGCAGCGGACGAGGAGGAGCAGAAGGTGAGGAGGACCTACTGGTAGTGTATGTGGATGACGGAAAAAAAAAAGACAACGATGAAGGAGGTCGAGGAGGAGGAGGAGGAGGAGGAGGAGAGAAGGAGAATAATAAGTAGGTTGAGGAGGAGGAGAGAAGAAGAAGAAGACGAGAGGAGGAGGAGGAGGAGGAGAAGGGGAGACGAACAAGACGATAGGAGGACGAGGAGGAGGAGGAGAGAAGAAGAAGAAGACGAGAGGAGGAGCAGGAAAAGGAGGAGGACCTGCCGGTAATCTATGTGTGATGACGGAAAAAAAAAGGATGATGATGAAGGGGGTCGAGGAGGAGGAGGAGGAGGAGGAGGAGGAGGACAAGACGAAAGGAGCAGGAGGAGGAGGAGAGAAGGAAAAGAAAAAAGTAGGTGGAGGAGGAAGAGGAAAGAGAAGAAGAAGAAGACGCGACAAGGAGGAGAAGGAGGAGGAGGACGAGGACAAGATGAAAGGAGGAGGAGGAGGAGGAGGAGGAGGAAGAGGAGGAGGAGGAAGAGAGAAGAAGAAGAAGACGAGATGAGGAGGAGCAGAAAGAGGAGGACCTGCCAGTACTGTATGAGGATGATCGGAAAAAAAAAAAAGAAGGACGACGATGAAGGAGGACGAAGAGGAAGAGGAGAGAAGGAGAAGGCAAAAGTAGGTGGATGAGGAGGAGAAGAAAAAAACAAGAAGATGAGAGGAGGCGGCGGCTAGAGAAGGAGGAGGAGGACAAGGCGAAAGGAGGAGGAGGAGAAAAGAAGAAGAAGACGAGAGGAGGAGGAGGAGGAGAGGAGGAGGAGAGGAGGAGGAGGAGGAGAAGGAGGAGGAAGAGGACATGCCGGTTTTGTATGACGATGCCAAAAAAAAAATAGAGGACGAGAGAGAGAGAGAGAGAGAGAGAGAGAGAGAGAGAGAGAGAGAGAGAAAGAGAGAGAGAGAGAGAGAGAGAGAGGGGGGGGGGGGGGGGGGGGGGGGAGGGATTTCACCGCATCTCGCCTATTCCGACAAGTGGCGCTTTTCAGCGCATTGATATGGCCGCGTGACACTTCGCCTAATAAACAAATCAAATGAAATCAGGAGGAGGAGGAGGAGGAGATGGAAAAGAAAGGAGGGGGGGGGGGAGGAGAAGAAAGGAGGAAGAGGAGGAGGAGGAGGAGGAGAGAAGAGGAGGAGAAAGGAGTAGGAGTAGGAGAAGAAAGGAGGAGGAGGAGGAAAGAAGAAAACGAAAGGAGGAGGAGAGAATAAAACGAAAGGAGGAGGAGGAGGACAGAAGAAAACGAAAGGAGGAGGAGGAGGAGAGAAGAAAACGAAAGGAGGAGGAGGAGGAGGAGAAAAGAAGGAAAGGAGGAGGGGGAGAAGGAGGAGGAGGAGAAGGAGGAGGAGGAGAAGGAGGAGGAGGAGAGGAGAAAAAGAATACGCAACGAGGAGGAGGAGGAGAGGAGGAAGAAGAAAAGGAAGGAAGGAGGTGGAGGAGGCTTTACCACGATGACAACAACTTCACGGGCAGCAACGACAGGGAGGGCTTCTCGACGGGGCAGGGAGACAACGTTGGGCAACTCGATGAAGACGAGCAACTCGACGAGGAGGAGCAAGGACGACGGGCGGGCTTCGCGACGATAACAATGACGAGCGGCTTCATGACGACGACGACGATAGGCTTTGCAACAGGGAATACCACATTTGAATTCGAACGCGGCGTCGTAACCCGCCAAAGGGGGAAACGATTTCTTGGCGGCTGATCTCGCCTGCCGATCTGTGCAGATCGGCGATCGCCGAAGAAAAACTTCCCCCCCTTGCTCAAATTACTCGTAGATTGTCATACATTCAAAAAAAAAAAAACCCTGGTGTTGCTGGAGGTTGGGGAGGCGACCAGTAGCCGAAAAAGGTCTCGCTCTCCCCCCCCCACGGGAAATTGCGGTGGACTCGCTCGGCCCTAAACCGGGGGACCCAACGAGTCGGGCCGCTAGGGATCCCTGGCGACGGATGGTTTGAAGTTTAACATAGCTTATAAGGGTTTCTGTGCGTGTTTTTGCATCTCACATGAGCCACATTTAGAATGACAAATGAGGTGGTGGTACAAATATTTTTGCGCGGTTCACGATAGACTCTCAATAGTCGGAACAACAAGAGCTCGAATGGTTAGGTGAGAGAGTGTGTGGGCGTGCACTTTGGGGCGTGGGTTGATTACCTTGACATTTGGCAGTTCCGTGATCAGGCAGTATGGTTAGTGATCCTGCAGAGTAATGCAGATTAGAGAAACATACATTTTTTCAATGAGTATGGCCACTTACATGCAATGCACGTGCGTAGAGGCCAACATTGTTATGGTTGAGTTCAATGATGACTATCGGTGTCACAATTAAAGGTGACTACCGCTGGTTTGTTTAAGGCAACGTTTTGACCTACATGGTACAAAATTTGTAAGGTGTTTTGGTCGTTGCGGTTTTTGCTAAAACTGTAGGGACCTCTTCCAATCTCAACAAATCGTACGTAAACGGAACGCGACATAGGTGAAGGTTAGTGATTTCGCCTATCAAAATTGCAAAGATGTGGTTTGCAAAAAAGTGGTCGCTTACGGAGGCGAAAATGAATGGTGGCATGACTCAAGCACAACAAGTGGTGTTTGCGACAACCACAAACCGAGACCGACCCTGTGTGCATTGGGTGCAGGAGTTCAGCGGCCGTAAGTTTGGCCGATCGGCCAATATGTGCCCTTAGCGAATCTTTGCTTTACCCACAAGAAGATGTAGCGCCTCGTCAAACCGTGAGGCTGCTACTATTTCAAACAGTGGAGGGAAAAAACTCAAAAAACAAAAACATCAGAGCCAAAAAAACAAAAACAAATCCAAAAAAACAAAAACAAATCCTTAAAAAGGCAAGGCTTGACGCCCGTGAAAACGAGCATTTGACACACCTGCTGAAAGTTACAACTCTCGGCCCTCTGTAAACGAGCAACGACATTCCCAAAACCTTAATGCCTCTATCGGGCACCCTGGCGTGCTGAAATACATACCTCAATTCGATTCCAGATGAAATCGAACTTTGAAAAACTGAAGAAAAAAATTTGACCGTTCTCTCGATTTATGCGTTTCATCCTTGCATAGGGGCCATACTAATCTGGGCGGCTGATTTCTGTCGCGCAATCTTGTTGATCACATGGTTGAAATCGGTTGCGCCTTAGTGCTTTGGCCCAAAGCTGATCCAAAAAGGGACAGCTAGTGGGGCCAGTCAAGTTCGATCCTTGTGTTTGTGGGGCAAAATCTTAGAGTTGATACCGACTGGGCTAGTTACCGTGGTAGGAGCAACTGTTTTATATGAGGAGTTGCGCCCAGCAGGCCGCCAGCTCCGTGGCCAGCAGACCGATATACTCAAGCCCTCTAGCGGACCAAGTTGTCTCTGATGAACGGTTAGACACTGAAGCTACGGGGTTGACACCCTGCTTCCATCATCCGCTGCTAGCTTGTGCCTGACCTTGACGAAATGCAAAGGATCGGTGCAACCTTTTTTTTCAATTATCAAGATCGCGGCCTCAACAGGGGTGCGATTTTTGCCACCTAAATCCCAACCACAAGCCATGACGGTCATGTGTAGATTTAACCCTTGTCGAGGTCGTGCAGTCTTGCGCTCTGCTCATTCCTTCAGAAGGGGGCCACTTGTGATTACTTCTCGTGGGCATGTCTTTTCTAAGTTTTGGTCGGAAGTGTCCAACATTTAAAATACCCGCTGCATACCCTTGTTAGGGTTTCTGCCCCGACAACGCCTTTACCATTTCAGTGGCGAAAAATGAACTTTGTCTAAGCTACTAAACCTTATTCCTGCATAATATCGCCGAAGCTGCAGAGAAAATTGCTACTAACGGGCACACACAACAAGAAGCCTCATTGCACCACACGCTGCATGGTTCCAAGGTCTTTTTAAAATAAAAGTAAAAAAAATAGCCACCTCCAAAAGTTTGCGGCACCGACAATCAACCCTAATGTCGGTCATGGCAAATGTCGCCTCTGTGCGCGTGTACGCGCCACAAATGGACATACCAACCAAAAAGAAAAAAAATCACTTAATCTAAATTTTATCTGAAAGGAAAAACTTTTCGGTTAAAAACGCCGGTACACGCCATACCAAGAAAACAAAATCACGTGCGCCTTAACTATGCACACCCCACGCACTCTGTACTTTTTCTCTAAACACAGAGCCAGTCACAGAAAAGAAAAGTCGTCGCGGCTCATGCGGTGCATCCAACTTTTAAGGGCGTCCTTAGACACTCCTCGGGGACGTGATTCCAAGGATTTCGTCTTCGTTTCACCTGTCCTTGGAAATGAAATCGAAACTGAAAATATGAAAAAACTCCGAGAACAAATCATTGGGCTCAGAGGATTTCCCAACAAAATCGTCCCCGATTTCAAAAAAACTCGCGAGGTCCTTTTGGGGCCCGAGGATCCGTGTTTCACGGAGAGGAGAGTGCATGCACGTAGAGAGACGTTACAACCGAGAATTCGGATCATGGCGGCACCCTATTGGCTGAAAGCCTTAAACACAACTTTTTTTTGTGTTTTTTTTTTCCTTTTTTTTTCGGACATTGCTCTGAGGATGAGTCCTAAAGCCAATGCTCCGAGGATGAGTGTAACGAAGACGACAAGAACCCTAAACTTTTTTGAGGATTCATCCTCGGAGCCCGAGAATGGCTCGACGAGTGTCTAACGACACCCTAATTCAAAACCCACTTCTGTCATTTGTAAGAACAAGAGCAGATACCTTTTTAAGGGTATTTGTGCCGACAACAGACATGCCACTTTTAAACCTTTCATCTTCGCTCTTTCACCCTCGTACCTAAAGAGAGAATGATAATGTTTTACGACTCGTTTTATCATCATCCAACTTTATCAATCTTTCCTTTCAAGTATTTGAAATAATTTATCTTTATTGTAGTAATTGTGTAAATGATTAAAAGTTACCTATATAATGATTTTGATTGCTAAGCTCTTCACAATAGTTGAACGAAACCATTACTAGGACTGAATAAAATCTTTATTTATTTTTTAAATTATAGTTTCTTATTTAATTTCAGAGGCCGCAGGGGCGGTGAGAAGAGTATCCTTCCAAAGTGCCTCCCTATTTGAAGGCTTCATCTATTGATGGGGATGGGAAGTGAGTCCAACATCCCTTTATGGCACATAAGTTAAACTTGCACGTTGTTATCAAAGATTCAATTTCTTAGAAGGCCAACTAAAATAGGCATTTTCAAGATGCCATGTGGCGTACGACGGGGGAGATAATTTATCAGAACATTTGATTCACTGGGGAAAATCGTAGTACTATAGTGATGAGGAAAATAATTTGTCAGCTATTAAGCCGCGCATTCATTGAGGGGAAGGGGGGGGGGGGAGAGAGAGAGAGAGAGAGAGAGAGAGAGAGAGAGAGAGAAAGAGAGAGAGAGAGAGAGTTAAAAAAAAAAAAAAAAATGAATACAAATTTGAGTCTGCGTTCAAACTCGAATTTGAATGCGAACGCGAGTTCATGGCGTTCAAATGAATACATAGTTTGTCAGATTATTCGATAAACGATGTTTAAAATATCCAAATTATCTAATTGTTGGTCGGTGAGCATAATGGTTTATCTATGCCATGTTGTTAATTTAAAGTGCGAAAGATTTTTGTAATTTTTGGTTAGTCAACAAAATGGTTTATTTATGAAGGCTTGAAAAACATTTATCCAAAAAATGGAAAGTTTTACAAATGAACTCGTATGAAAGAACTTAAATTATTTGATATTATGTAATTGTGTGAAATGTCTTTGCAACACAAATTTATTAAGGACTAATTTCTAAAAATTTACAAATTTTGTATATATATATTATATATATCATTGAGAAGCGATAATCACTTTACTTGATTCTGAACAGAGAGGTTATAGTTCTACCTGAAGATTTAATGAAAACCATAAATGTATTTTATTATCATTGGTGTGAATAGTTGAAAGATACCGTTCATCCACTCAATTCTCACAAAGATTTAGCAGTTATAGTGAATGATTAATGTTTTCAGTAATGTGCATAATTCAAAAACACTTTCAACTACATATGAAATATGAGCGATATGCATGGATTCTTAATGTTAAACTTAACATCCTTGAACCCATAACATGAGATGTTAAACAATATAATTAGAAAGCGGATTCGTTGTTGGGCCTAAAATTGAAAACTAGGGGGTTGCCAGTTTCAAAGGAATTGACTCACACAGATGCTGAAACGATGAAAACACGTCTATTGTCAAAAACATATTGAATGCTAAGATAAAAGAAAATCACTCATCGAAAGGAACCACCAGTAAGATAACAACCCAATGGGTCGTACACCCAGTCTTATCAACACGGTTATGGTGCCGGTAGGCCAAGATGAAGACCTTTTGATCCTGTTAATCTAAACTCTTACCTGGGTAGAGTACTTTTTATAGGTTTGAGTTCGTTCCTGCTTCTAGATGAGAACTAATACACAAGGCTGAGTCGGAGGATACCTACTAAGAAAGTGAAACATATCTACAGCGAAAGGAAAAGGTTGTTACATCTTGTCAACAAACTGAAAATTGTAATACAAAATAATTTAAATAAAGAGGCCCAATGTTTGGTGATTTCAATTTCAAAATATTCTTGATATTTTGAAATAGCTATGTAGTATATAGATACATACTTAAACCACAAGTTCACCGAGGCCTAGATGTGTACCACAAGTTCACCAAACTTTTCCGAACTGCCACCGACACTTTTTTTTTTTTTTTTTGGTTGGCGCCACCAGCCATTGCGGTCTAGTAGGCCCGATACGAGAATTTTTCAGCGAAGGTAACAAGCAAATATGCACATAGTTGGGGTCGTGTATTGGTGGTACGTTAAAAATAATACAAAATAGAGGGCCTATAGAGTACGAGGACTAGTACTAGGGGGGTTTGAACTTCCTGTAGCAAAGCACGCCGTTTTTCCTCGTAGACGACCCTAGACAACTGTCCTTTTCCCAGGTTGTTTTTTCCAATCCCCAAAAACGATTTAGGGATGCTGGACCTGTTTTCCTCGAGGACCATTTGGCAGGGGGATCCTAAAATTTTCCTGATTAGGCCTTAAAGCATTTGTACATTTTTTCAAGGACTGGATTTCTAGGAATAGTCTAACGACACCAGAATCCTTGAAACTCGATATTCAAGGAGTGTCTAAGGAGACTGTTAGTATCTTTTGTTTTGCCCTACCCTGAAAAATCCGATTTCAGAATGGTTCCTTGAGAAAGTTGTCGCTTAGAAAAAAAAGGAGAAAAAGGAAACAAGGGATGTGTTTCAGGGCGCCACCACATTACAAATTTGGAGGATGCCCTCTCTTTTCCAATGCTGCATTCCTTGAAACTTGAAAGAACCTCGTGGACGATGTTCTTTCAAACCAAGGACCATTTGGCTTGGGAATCCAAAAATTTTCCCGATTAGGCCTTGGAGCGTTTTTACATTTTTTCAAGGACTGGATTTCTAGGAATAATCGTACGACGCCAGAATCCTTGAAACTCGATTTTCAAGGAGTGTCTAAGGAGACCGTTAGTATCTTCTTCTTCTTCTTCTTTTTTTTTTCTTTTTTTTTTTTTTTTCTTTTTTTTTTGTTTAATCTTTTGATCTTTGCACCTCCGCCCCCAAAATAAAAGAAAAAATAAAAATAAAAATTCTTTGCACCTTCCAGCTAATTCAACTGGATGGGGGCTGGTGGGACTTGGTCCCTTGCTTATCCCGAATGGCCTCTCTCCCATACATTAGAACTGAAGGCCCTTAGGCCTTCCACTAGGTCTTCTTGGCGGTGGATGCAAATAATCTACGGCTGTTGGGTGTCGGTATTGCTTTGTTTCCCAAACAGAAGCCGAAGAAAGAAAGATCTTCCATGATTTTTCGAAAAGATGCGCTAAAGAAAGATCTTCGATGATTTTTCGAAGGGATGCATCTATGCATAGTAATGGATGCATCATGCCATTTTCTGCAGAAGGTGCATGCATACTTTTGTTGTTCTTGCAGTGGTGGGGAGGGGTCTAGTGTGGATTCTAGGGTGGTGGAAAGAAAGGCATCAGGACTGGGGGGACTCGCTGCACCACACACCAAATGTGCAAAAGACAGAAGCTATGGCGGGTGCATCTTTCTAAGTTTTACGGGAAGAGACATGCCCCATTTTGCACATTTGGTGAGTGGTTTGGGGAGTCCCCCCAGTAGCGCTACTCACCAGCTGTGAATGTATTTTCCCACAACGAGGACAGACAGGGCAACACTGTCCTACTGACAGCAACAGCAATTAGGCTCAGACCTGGATAAATGTGACCGCAATCACGTCCAGAGCTGAGCCGAAAAGGTCCTAGTGAAAAAAAGAAAAAAATTAAAAAAAGAAAAAAAAAGGTCCTAGTGAAAAAAAAAGAAAAACAAAAGGAAAAAAAAAAGAAAAAGGAAAAGGTCCTAGTGCCAGTATACTCCCCCACTCAGGGCATACTCACATTAGCACTTTCCAGAATGCATCTGACTGCAGTTAGGGCCGGACGTGGATGAACCTGGCCGCAATCACATCCACAGCATTGTCCAAAAATTCCTAGTGTGAGTACTGCCCTCATACAGTTTCCCGGGCCTAGGTCCCACTTGCACGACTTAAGAGATACTGACCGTAGATAGCAAAGATCAACGGCCTAAATCTCCTAATTTGCGCATGTGGGACCTTGCCCCCGGGCGGATGTATCCAGAGCGCAGATTACGGCATTCAGGGCATACTACCCGTAGGACTTTCTAGGGACCGCTTTGCCAACCAGGCCTGGATGCACCTGACCGGAATTATGTCCAGAGAGAAGGTGAAAATGGTCCTGGCGTGAGTATATGCCCTCAGTCGAGAAAGTGCTGGCCTGGGTCCACTCTAAGGGCATACTCACACTTGTAGGACTTTTTCCTCAACGCTGTGGACGTATTTGCGGGTAGGTTCCTGCAGGTCTGGCCGCAATTGCAGTCAGATGCATTCTCGAAAGTTCTAGTGCGAGTATTCCCTAATCCACGCGGCTCGACAGGGAGAGCTACCTGGTAGTGCTGTCGTAGAGTTCATTGCGAAATGCGAATAAAACTACTGACCAGTATTAAGTTCTTTTTTTTTTTTTTTTTAAGTTCTTTTCTTTATGACCTTTTTCGCTCTTTCCTACGTGTTGCGATTGCAATGGGCGATGCTGATCTTCCTTGTTGCGTGCCCAGCTCAGGGCATTACTCGCGGATACAATGTGTTTGGCGATCTCTTTTTGTTTCATGAGGAGAATTAATTTAATCAATTTTAATGCTTAGTTGGCTTCTCTGGTGGAGTGTCTGAGTGGAGTAGGGTGGAGTAGTTATGATCGACGGTATTGGCTGGAGGGGTGAGGCTCGGCCTGGGGAGCGGGTTCGAGTCCAGGTTGCCCCTGGGAATGTTGAGCTATTACATGCGAACCATGTAAAGCCTTGGGCACACACACACACACACACACACACACAAACAAACAACAAAAAAAAAAAAAAAAAAAAAA